TGCCTGTTGTTGTTTTTTTTTTGCACATCGTCTGTTGTTGTTTTTTGCACACTGCCTGTTGTCTCTGTCTTTCTTTTGCTACACAAGATGTAGCTAGCTAATAGCATTTCGTTATACCATATACCATGTATATGAGTGTAATGACAATAAACTTGAACTTGAACTTGAACTTGAAGGTCTAAAACTTCACTGCCTCTTCACTGAAAAGACTTTGTACCAGCAAAGTTGACTAAATATTCATTGTTCTGTAATCCAGATAATGAAAACACACTCCTGAAATTGTCAGCAAGAAATAAATAGATTGGACAGATTAAAAAACAAACAGGATTGGCATGGCTTTATACAGTGCGTGGGTGTAATGAGGTCTGTGAAGCAAAATGCATTACTAAAATTCACTTCTTGACGGACTGCCATTTATCTCAGACTGCTTGTCAGGAGGGGCACACAAATGTTTTTATTGCCATGCTATTAGACAGAACTGTCTGGTTTTGCCACCAGTACCTTCATATCCTTGAATTAAATGTTTGCCTTTGGCATTGTTGTAGTGAACAGGCCCACAGGTTCACAAAGCTAAGCTACACCAAATTTGGTTTGGCACAGCTTTGTTATAATATGTCACGACAGACCATTAAATATTGGAAGAGCAATCCACTTTCTTTCTTAGAATACCTTTTGGGATTTCCCACACAATAACTAGGAACAGGGTTACAAAATAAAAGGTGCTGCTTTGCACAGAAGTCCCACTGCAGTGGTCTAGTTTTTTTTTTTAAAGAAAATAATTTCTGGAAAGAATTGTTGTCTGAAAAAAGGATTTCTAACTTTTGAGAGACAGTGATTCAGTTTACAGTGTTTTTTTTCAAGGCAGAGTTAAATAAATCCAACACACTTCAAAACTGCATCATACTAATCTAAGTAGATTGTTGTGTTATTCACAAAATCCAAATTCGGCTTGCAGCACGTTGGTTGGAAATGTGGAAGGCCTTACCTAACAGACTCACGAATGTATGTGAAGATGTGATGCTTCTGTTATGCTAACAGCTAACAGCAGCTGTTTCAACTATACAGTTTAGTATGTTTATCACAGGTGTGATCGGTCCAGATTCTCATCATCAAGAATTGGGCTGCAAAAGACATCTCTCTGCTGACAGGGTGTTACACAAGGCTGGTATTGATATCCATAGGATGGCAGGATTTGTCACTGACTTTAACAGCGCTAAACAGTTTTTACATCTTGTTTAGAGAATTACTGTGTGTGTAGCTGGTGCCCCCTTCGAGGCTGCAGTAATTCTAAGGTCTTATGCCCATAACCATTACTTAATTCCTTGGGTTCCTGGCATATTCTCACATTGTCTGTCACAGTTTTGAATATTTAGAATTCTGCAGATAAGCCTGTCTTAATATGTAGTTTTTACCTTTCATACTCTGTTTCATTAGCACATTCCTCTCAAGCTTAATTTCTGTTATGGCACTAACAGTGCGTGAATGTATTCTGTAAATGCAGTTGTCATAAGACTCCTCACTAAACATTTGTTACAGGACATAGAATCACATACAGTAATAAAATTATTGTTAGTTTTCTTTTAAAAAGCTATTTGCTCAATACTTCCTGGAGAAACAGCCCGTCTCACCAGAACATTTTTGCGTTAATGCAAATATTTAAATAAAAACAAACTGCTCATAAAAGACCCGATTCATCATCTTTGTGCTTTTCAAGTGTACTTTAGTGGTTTTGTGCTTACAGTTCACTTTGATGTCCCTTTGCTTTCATACATTGAAAATGTTCCTTTGTGCCAGAACATCATGTACGTACAAAGCAGATGTTACACTTTGCTTGCTCTGTGATTATGAAATGAGCAGTTGTGCCATCCAGCTTTTTCTTTACTCTAACCAGGAGTGGTCCTTTTCCAAAGGTGTACTTTCAGTTTGTATGATTTGAAACAGCTGAGTGATTCATGTCTGTTTAATGGCAAGACATGTTCCATTTATAGCTGCAGAAATATTACCTGCTCTTATGCAAGCCCTCAGATGGAAGGCTGTGTTAATTGGGAAGTGAGACAGACATCCATTACTCTCAGGTTATGAGCAGCCTGATGGAAATGTCTTTCACTCATGAACTTCTTATACATTTCCATTAGAATCTATAGTGTTGTTGGAGGCTCTGGCAGCTCCACTGTGTTGCAACACATAAGGAGTATTGTATGAATGACTAGTGAATTACTAGAATAATGCAAGAACAACGCCATTCATATTACTCACAAACTAATTGGAAAGATCATCCATCAATTTTCTTACCGCTTTATCTAATACAGGGTGATAGGGGAGCCTGAGTCTATACCAGCAAGCAATGGCCACAAGGCATCTTGGGGAACAAACCAATACAAACACACCCATACTATTAACACCAGTTTCACTAACTATGGGCTCATCTGCAATCTGGGGCGCAAGATTTCCATCCATTTTCTAACCATTGTTGAGGGGGAAACTGAGCCTAACCTAACCAACAGGCACAAAGCAGGATACATCCTGGACAGGATGCCAGTCCATCGCAATTCACACACAGACACAGACAAGCAGTCACTCACACCAAGGGCAATTTTCCCAGAGGCTTTTTAACCTACCAGTACAGTATATTTGTGTACTGTGGTAAGAAATGGAAGCACCCAAAGGAAACCCTTGCGAACACATGAAGATTATACCAACTCCATACAAACAGTATCCAAGAAATTGAACTCAGGTCCCCATCATGGTAAGGCAGCAGTGCTCATCACTGTGCCACCATGCTGCCCCCAATGGGAACATGTCTGATCTAAACATACTGTATAGACACACAAGGAGAAAATTTAGAAACGCCAGTTAATGGAGACAGTGTGTCTTTGAACTGTGGGAGGAACTGGAGCACCCAGTCCAAACCCACACAGTCACTGGGTGAACGTGCAGACTCCACACAGAAAGTGCTCCAGGATTAAATCTAACCAGGAAGTGTGAAGCAGGTATGAACAACTTGCCCTTCAAAGCACTCATTGGTTCGTAAAATATGTCTCCCTGCCTTGTATTTACAAGGATCTTAGCACCTGAAGATGAAGAAGAGGTATTCATGTTGTCTCAGAAGCATTAAGCTGTTTAGGTATTTTCTGTTTTAAAAGGAGATAGTGTCTCCTCTAGCAAAAGAAGACAGTGCTTTCAGATTAAATAACTAGGAAATGAAAAATATGCAGCACATACTAATAAGCACACTGTGAAAATTGCGATAGTTAAAATGTAATTATGTTACATTTTAGTGACTACAGTATGTGCAAAATGTGTTTTTATTGAATTGTGACTCCCAAAATATTGTCTGATATTCATTTTATTATGGCCAGTGGCAGTTCTGTTCCATAAAATAGGTTCATTGGTAAAATGAAAAACAAAATATTCCTGCTCTAGCTGCACTGGTACTTATTGTTTCAATTTGGATCCTTATACATGTGGGCTGACACTTCAGTTTGATAATAAAGTTTTAAAAAGGAGAAAATGACCTTTGTGAGGATCCTGCTATCCAACATGTGGAGTCCTGTTTTACTCTTCAGTTTGTGCGTTGTGTTAAAGGAAATTAAAAAAAGCACTGGGTCGCCTACAACTGTTCACAGGGGGGAGCTGTTTAGTGGTACTCAGTTTCAGCCAGGTATATAGAATAATTTGTCTGAGGCTGAGGAGAAGACCTTTGCTACTGTATACTGCGGCCTACACTGAATCCTCAATCAAATAAAGCAACCAGAAATAAAATTAATGTCTGCTTTAGTGCTAAAATAATTGTTGCTGTTGTTGTCGTTTTTTTGTTCCAAACAAAAACACCATGTACTCATTGTCAATTTATTTCATGTCTCACCAGTTGGGACAGCTGTACAGCTCCTCTAAAAATAAGTATTTTCAACGTTTTCTAGAAAGTTCTAAGAAAGACTTTTCAGAATAAGTGTTTTGAAAACTCAAAGAACGTTTTTTGAACATACATAGTAAGCATTATTATTCCTGTCTGAAGAGATTTGTTTGGAAAAAATCAAAACATATGCCGCATTTCCACTAAAGTGCATCCTTTAGAGATATTTTGATGCTTCATATATTTCTAAATAATACTCAGTCTTGTGTGGCTTTGCCCTGTTTAAGATGTGGTCTGAGTTGATGAACTATGAGGTGGTACGTGGGTCACTCCAACAGGGATTAATTGTTTCATAGCATGTACAGTACAATACAAGAAGCCCCTTGTCTGTGTGTTATCTTCTTTTAACAAATGCCTGTCTACTGCTATCAACCTGTACATGGAGGTTTCAAAGAACTAACACATTACTCTACTCAAAGCCTTCTGTTTTCTTATACCAGTGAGAACCTACAGTAGATAGTGTTTAATTTGAATGTATTATTTCTTTTTACATACACTGAAGCATCAGCATATTATACAGTATATACCGTTACTTGTTAAATGTACGTGTCAATGTATTATGGTGGTGGTTTAATCTGTTGTGGCTTTTTTTCCAGTCTGCTCCTTGATTTATTTTCTATATACACGTGTTTGCACGATCACTGTATATCAATTAGGAAATACCATTTGTTTTAGCTGTATGATGTTTTTAATGAAAAGAAAGGGAGTTGCATTTTCAGTTAAAAGTTCTAAATGCTCTTTGATTAATCTGCCGTTGCTGTTGTGGAAAGGTTTGGAATGCTATGTAGCTTATGGCTCTAGTTAAAAGACAACTCAGCACTTCGTACAAAGTGTTTTATCCATTTTGTTATTACACATTCACTATGGCTGCAGGCAACTTTTTGGCCTGTAACACAAGCTTTATTTGATGTTCTTTTTGGAATGTCTCTGGAGTACATCGCTGGCTCCAACCATATTCTGGCAAAAATATATATCAAAACAAATAGTCTTTGTAACAACAGAAATCAAACAATCTTCTTAGATTTGAAATGGAATACAAACACGGCAAAGTTTATTGGTTTCTCCTCTCTCTTTTCGTATATTTCAGGGTTTTTTCCGCAGAAGCATTCAGAAGAACATGGTTTACACGTGTCACAGAGAGAAAAACTGTGTCATCAATAAAGTCACAAGGAATCGATGCCAGTACTGTCGGCTGCAGAGGTGCTTTGAAGTGGGAATGTCCAAAGAATGTAAGTTCAATCTCTGTGGCTTGTATACTCAAATTTGCATAAGATTAAATGCCCTTTTTTCTTAAAAAAGTTTCAACCTGCTTTGCTTACAGCAGTATTATAGTGCAGGTTTAGGACGGCAGTGTACCTGCATTGCACAGAAGAAACGCAAGGTTAGAGCAGATATTGCTCCCCATTTTGAGATGCATAATTTGGATCTGAAACCCTTCTGTTTACTCCTTCATTTCTCTGTAAAGGAGAAACAACATTATAGCTGGGCGGCACAGTGCTTAGCATTGCTGTCTCTACATGACGTGGCCCTGGATTCAGTTCCTGGAGTACTATTTCTATATTCTCCCTGCGTTGGCATGGGGATCCTCCAGGTGCTCTGGTTTCCTCCCACAGTACAAAGACATGCTGCTAGGTTAATTAGCTTCTATGAAATGTTTCTCTGGCGTGTTTGTGTCTGTGTATGTCCTGTGATGTATGAGCTTCCTGTCCAGGGTGTATCCTGCCTTGTGCCCATTGTGTGCCAAGTTAGTCTCCATCTCCCCTATGATCCTGTACTGGATAAAGTGGTTAGAAAATGGATGCGTGGATTGAAACGGTCTTGGATATATTATTTTTAAAAAGTCTCCAGATGCTTGACCATAACAATGACATGAACAGTTTTACTTTCTGATTTTCCAGCCCGTTCTAGGGAGTTAGAGTTAACTTCAGCTAAGAAGTAATGTAATTGTTGGTTACAAGTCTGTAGTTTTGTATTTTAAAGCAGAAAATATTACTGAACATGTTGTGGCGTGCCTGGACACCCAGCTTTAGCTATATCTCAATTAATTGTGGTCCCTGTCATAGTCTTGGTACCAATGTAGCATTCAGGTGTCAGGCACTTTGCTTTGAGTGCTAGTGCCTTAATTCAGTCTTTTTTGGTTTGACATTACTTTAATCACATGCAGCTCTTGTTGTTATCAAATGAATGATATTGATTTAATGTGAAAAGAATTTAAAGCTCACATTTTATCACTGTTTTTTTTTACCACTTTCCAATTGCATTACCAGTAGATACTGTATATTCTGCCAATATTCAGTGCTAATAGAGAGTTCACACATAATTTCCAAAGTAACATATTATGTGGCCTGATATCAAGAAACATAACATCATAATTTATTTGACTAATATTTACAGATTGTAACACACAACCTTCAAGTGAAAAACAAATGTTGAGACAATTTGAAAAGGGTAGGCACCATCTTGTGAAAATGTAGCAAAAATAAAAATCTGAAATTGTGATATGTATTATGTCATGGGGCTGCTTCTTATCAGCCAGGACTGGGAAAATAATCAACACTGAGGGGAAAATGAATGGAGCAAAGTGCAGGCAAAAATTAGAGCAAAACCTGATACAGTCTGCTGAAGATCTAAAACTAGGATAAAAATTCACCTTTTGGTGGAATAATGACCCAAATCACAAAGAGAAAGCTGCACTGTAGTGGCTTAGAAAGAAAAAAGTAAATGCCCTTGAATGGCCTTATTAAAGTCTTGACTTGAATATGTGGCACTTCTTGAAAACTGTTGTCCAAATCAATTGAAACCAACTTGACAGAGCTTGAACACATTTGCAAAGAAGAATGAGCGGAAATTGTACAGTCTTGGCAGTGGTGTAGGATTTTTTGAGCACCATTTGAAAAATATTTTGGAGACTATAGACAATTATGAACTACAGTGGTTCATCATAATATTTAAAAACATTTAAACAAGTATGTAACCAAATTAAGCTAATTGTAAAAGATCTGTAATTTGTTTCTGCTTTTCCTCCAAAACCCAAAACCCAGTCTATTTAATGCCTGTGTACTGTATTTTTTTAATCAGTCAACAAGTGCTACTCAATATTTATCTATATCAATAGTTATCTTGTATTGCCCTTTGCTGCATTAATCAAATTAAATGTTTTTTTTCCAATACTACATACAGTATACGGTATTTCTTTAGTATGCACACTAGTGTATATTTCATATTACAGGTATGTTTTGAAACACGTATTTATAGCCGAATAAGGGACAATAAAGGAGAAATAAACTGGCATTCAGTTGTATTACAAACTGTCTTATTTGTGTCTTTTGGTGAGAATGCTGAGAATTCAGTGCTTTCAGGGAAACACTTTATAAAACAATGATGGCAGTTTGACTACCTGAAGGTACTATCACTGGGGAATAAAAGCATATATTCATATCTGTCAAGTGGTGGCTATAGACTATGAGACACCGTCAAAGTGATGCCTGAAAGCAAGGATAATATAAGGCATTCTGATGTTCTTGTTTATTAATTTGTTTTTGAAGAACAAGTGACTCACAAGCTTAATGAGTTTTCCCCATCAATGTTTCCTCCAAGCAAAGATCCATTTTAAGAATTACTTTTTCAAACATGAATATTGCCTATTTTCGTTCATCACTAAACAGCAGATAGTGTGCCTGGAACGCAATTGAGAAATAATTCATCAAAAGCAGTTGCTTTTTATTTCTGTAACATTTTTCCAACACTCTCCACTTCTGAAGGGTTTGCACACAAGAGCGTTGTACGCTGTTTAGCAGAACGTTGTAGCATGAAAAGGATCTTGCTGTTCCTTTATATTTTGGTAATTTAGAAATAAGCAGGATTTATCGTGCATGCGTTACACTGCAATTAACAATTGTGTACAGAAGAATTTACACCCTACTTACAAGATCACACTTTTTAACAAGGATTTATGTTATTAAAAAGAGCTATTCTTATTAAAAGTGTTAGTGGTTACAATAAGTGCTGAAGAGGAGGAGGTTAAATATCAACACAGGACATTCAAAGAAGACATTAAGTTTACTTTACACATTGCATATGTATTCAGCCCAATAGGTCAGTATTTGGTAGAAGCACTTTTGGCAGCAGTTGCTACTGTCACCTTTCCCACCTTTCCACAGTAGGATTTTCTGTAAGTTTTGCCTGTTTGTCTTGGCATAATTAGTACAGTTCCGACAAGTGTCTTGGGGATAGCTGATGGATTGCAATCTTCAAGCCCATCCATCGATTTCCAAAGCCGATTTATCCAGTGTGGGGTCTCGGGAGCCAGAGCCTAGCCCGGCAAACAATGCGTCCAAGGTAGGATACAGCCAGGATGGGACACCACCTCCCCCCCCCATACACGAGGTCCAATTTTACGGAAGCCTATTAACCACCAGTATTTACTGTGGGAGGAAGCTGGAGCATCTGAAGGAAACCCACGTTTCAACAGGCAACAATGCTAAAAACTGCACCACCAAGCCACCCAATCAAGCCTTTTTGAGATTGAAGTCAGGGCTTTGACTTGGACACACAAAAACATCCACTCTTCTTCTCAGACCACTGCAGTGTCTCTGGCCTTGTGCTTTAGGTCATGTTCACCTCACTTTTGTTTTTATCCCACCGTTTTGCCTGGCCTTCTTCCAGGTGCTCCAGTTTCATCCCACAATTCAAAGATCCTTGGCTGATTTAAGTAGGTTTTCTACCAGGATTTGTGTGTGCTGTCTGCACCATCAGTTTCCACCTCAGTCCTAAGAGCCGTCTGCTCCCTGATGGTGACGGCACTGCCTTTACATGATACCTCCCCCACCATGTTTGACACTTCAGATGGTGTTGACTGAGTGATGTGTTGGGCTTGTGCCAGACAGAGCATTTTGGATTTAGAACAACAACAAAAAAACACATTTTGAATTGTCTGAACTAGGGCTGGGCGATATGGCCAAAAATATTATCACGATAGAAATTTTCATACCAGTCGATATCGATAATTATCACGATAAATGTCAAATCATTATCTCTTTCAAGTTTAAAGGCAGATTTTTTCTCCTGAGTGAAAGTTGAAGAAACCAGACAGTTAATTGGTAAATTAAACAACTCTTTATTTTAAGAACACAACAAACACTTGCCAAACAGCGGAAACATTAAACAAATCTGAGGTAGAGAGTATTCAAGTCTTTTTTACGTCAAAATATGCATGAGTTTATTTTACAAAATTAATATCTAAATAGAAAAATGAAATACTGCGGTGTGATAAAACAAACTGTACATAGAAGATGGCTCAGACAGACTGCAAAGTTTAAAGTGCTCTGTTTTACGTCTGATCGTAAAAAGCCAAAATATCTCCAAATTACCGAAGTTGAATGACCTTTTCTGTCGACGATGTCATCGTCCTTCGAGCTGGTTGTTGGCAGCTCTACATTTGCTTCAGTATCGCTCATTTCTCCACTCTGACTACAGTCCTGTCAGCCACCTCCATGTGGATCAACAACATCATGTTAGCTGCCCGGTCTGCAACAGACACACGCACTCCCGCAGTATTTTGTGCGTATGCGCATATCATGCGCAAAGCATAAACATATATATCGAACATTTATCTAACTTTTGTTAAAATTATATCGAGGAAAATTATATCGCGATAATTATCATTATCGAATTATCGCCCAGCCCTAGTCTGAACACAAAACCTTCTGTCGCATGTATGCAGTGCATCTCATAGATTTTAAAGGATTATTTCTAGCTCATTGTCTGTTGATACTTGCCAGATTTGTTAGGGACTAGCTTATTGTTAATGACAGACATTTCAAGGACATTGGTGGTTTACCTTAAGGCTTAATGGTGGCTATCCATACCCAGTTTCCTGCTTTCCTGGCTGCTCATTTTGGGAGGGTTAATTGATCTCAGTAGTGTCTAGGTGGCATGATAAACCATTTATTTCTTAAAGATGGACTTCATGGTACTGAGATGGATTATCAATGACTGATGTTTTCCTTTACCTCTCTGCTTCACTGGGCTCCTTAAGCTTCATGGTTACTTTTTTTTATTAGTATATACATTACCCCATAAAAGTCTTTATTTACATGATTAAAATATACATTATTAAAAATCACTTACATGATTAAGAATATCCCCAAATTATTACACTTTGATAACACACAGGCTAAGCCCTTCAAAAACAATCAATTTGCTCCTGAGCTGATTTTGGGCTCTAGTA